GGTCCTGACAGCTTCATTTCTCATCTTCTCTCTCTCTCTCTCTCTCTGTCCATCTCTGGTCAAATTAAAATAATAAATAAATGAAGTTAAATAAAATAATTATTTAAAAAATATAATAAAAGCTTAATTGTTAAAATAGCAAGTTACTCGTAAAAGAATAGCTAAATCAGTGGAATACTATATATAGTCCAGAAACAGTCCCTAACATATATAGGCTACTAGGATGTGATAGTGGAGAAAAGACACCTTGTTTAATAAATATTGGTAAGACAAATAATTGGATGCTTTATATAACTAATAGTAAAATAATAAAGAATCTGAACGATATATATGACAAAAAAATTAAAATTCAGGAGGCATAAACATTGAAGTATACTAAATGAACTGGCAGCACGGGAAGCCACAAGGCTAATTACAGGTTCAGGTCACTGCCCCCGTTGATCTGGAACATGCAGGTGGGCACAAGTGTCCAAGATTTTGATGAGCTTAATGAAGGGGATCACAGCATGATGATCCCCTTGATGATACACATCTCTTTCTCTCTCTTTTGCTCTCTCTTTTTCTCTCTCTCTCTCACACACATACATGCCCTCTCTAGTAAGAATGAAAGACAAAAAGAGAGAAATACTTAACCTATAAAATACTGTTTTCATCTAGCAAATACAGAATGATTGAAGAAAAAGATAGTGTTCAGTGCAGAAAGAAAGCATGATGGAGCTAGTAGTGGTACACAAGGAGGCAGAGGGCATTTGGCAATATGCATTATAAGCCTTAAACCTCTTCATACCCCTTGACCCAGTAATTCCATGTTTAGCTACAGAATTACTTGCATTAAGAAAACTTAAGCAGGGCCCCATAGCTCAACAGTTAAGCATGGTGCATAGGGAACCAGATCCCATCTGTGATTTAAGTCCCAGCTCTAGCAGCTTGAAAAGCATGCCGGGTGTGTGTACCTACCTACCCAGAATCCTGACAGGATAGAGTAATGAGGGACCAGGATGGTGGTATAACTCTGCCCCTTTTGGTGGGGGGGGGGGCTGCTTTTTCTCTCTCTTTCACACAGGCACATGCACCCTCTGGCAATTTAAAAAATAAATTAGGCAAAAATTACCAGATGGAATTAACCACGGTATCAATTATAGTTGTTATTTCTAGGTGGTAGAATTATGTTTGTGTTTTCTACTTTGAATACATTTCCCTAAGTCTTCCTCAATGACTCTGTATTTTATAATTAAAATGTTAAAGTCCTGTAAGGTAATTATTATTGTTATGATTCTTTAGTCTTTCCAGTGTCAGCCTGCCTTTAGCTAAGATAATTCCAATAGTAAATGGACAGATCCATTCGGTTTGCAGTGAGACACCTAGTCATTTTGTACAGGTAAGAAGAAAGCATGGGGGCATTATCAAAAACAAATTGTATTCTTGTTGTGGTCATGTGTGTCTAACATAAAATTACATTTTCTGCTGTGATATTTGTTGAAAAGAACCCAAAATTTGAAACCATATGTAAAGTGTAGAGAAAGCCTCATGGGAATAATAATGTTATCATAGCAAATTTATAAGTTGGGAGTACCTTTCCTCATGTCTACTGCCTGTTGGACAGCATTTAGTCCAAGTGCATTCTAACCAGGTGAATTTATGGGCCTTAACAGGGGTTTTTTTTTAGAGATTTTTGCTATAGGGCGCATGAGCTCACCAGAGAGAGAAACAGAGAGAGAGAGAGACAGAAAGCAAGAAATCACCCCCTGGGGGGGATGTCCATGCCACCATCCCTTCTCTATTTTCCTCTCAGGAGTTTGGGCACGCACGCACATAGGCCTGGCATGAGTTTTAAGTTCAAACCACAGTCAACTACGTGGGAGTCCAGCAGCATAACCATTATGCCATCTGCTGGTCCCCAGAGCATCATGTTTTGCATTAAATGTGCTGGTCAGAAGATTGAGGCTTGAGGCATATCCATGGTCCAGTTCTTCAAATTTTGAGGAAAAATTTAAAATTTAGTGGAGAAGTAAAACATTTTAGCAACTAATAAAATATAACCATTAGTAGTGCATCAATAAGCTGCTAACTACATGTTGCATGAACAGTGGGTTGTCAAATCATTTTTTAGAGTGTCTGAAATTCCATCTTAGGAAAGCATTTGGAACGCATTGGGTAAGACTGATATTTTTAACAGGATAACTTTAAAAATGCAGATTTGGGGGCTTGGATTTTGTTTTGTTTGAGTTATTGGGACACTTGGAAACTATTAATAAGTAAAAAAGTACTTGCAGGATACTTCCATTGCAGACTGCTTTAATAATGTACAGTAAGAAGAGACCTTAGAGCCACCTTAATGCCTAAAGTTTGCACCTTTTTTTTAAAATTTATTGTAATTTATAATTTATATATAAACAATACACATCTTTGTAGGGTACAGAATGACTTTAAAAGCATGTGTGCAACATATAATGAATAAATTGAGGATATTAACATATTTACCACCCTCAACATTTAACATTTTATTATGTTATAAAGATGTGGAAGCCATTCCAATGGTTATTCTGGAAGGATGTACTGAAGTGTCTGTGATGTTCTTTACTGTGAGGTACAGTTCTAAGGACAAACAAATCAATTAAAAACCAGACAACAGAAAGTCTCGTACATTAATGAGAATGGGGTTTAGGAAACAAAGTTGGTGGGACCAGCAGATAGCATAATGGTTACGTCACTGGACTCCCAAGTAGTCGACTGTGGTTCTAGTCCTGGACCTGGCAGTTTAAAACTCAAAACGGGCACATGTGCATGCACAAAATCCCAAGAAGAGAAGGGACTGTGGCCTGACCATCCCCCGCAGGGGGTGATTTCTCATTTTCTGTCTCTTTATCTCTGTCTCACTGGTGAGTGCATGTGCCCTAAAGCAAAAAAAAAACTCTTAACAAAAAAAAAAAAAAATACAAGTTACACCTTCTTAGTACCATTTGTCCAAATTTTGTTTATCTTCCCTGTAGACTCAGATTCAGGAATGTGAAGAGCACTGGCAGTAAGGGTTGTATTATTTCTTCCTTTCACTGCAGTGTCACTAGCCTGTCATGTGCATATTTTTGCTCTCTTTTCAGTCTTCTGTGTAATCTTTCTCACCCAGAAGAGTTGCAAAATAAATAGTGAATAATAAGGCTGATCTCATTTCACTGAATTTTAAGCTTCACATATTTCAGGCATTTGAACTTTAACTCCACTCCTCTTGACTTCTAGAAGTCTCTGGCTTGACCAGTAGACTGGTTGTTTTTACAGATAAGTGGGAAATACAGCCAAGTGTAAAATGTCATTGTTAGCCTTATTGCTTACATCATTTTATGTACCACATTTTAATAGCTAGTAAAATCACCATTGATACAAATATTTAGCAAAGTTTTCCAGTGTGATTGGGTGTAAATTTATTTCAGACCATAGATTGATATGGCTGCTACCAATTTTCTAAACTATAATTTTATGAGTTAAAACACCAAGTAATCTATTTATTTATTTATCATCATAATCTCGTTTATATTACATTTAACCACATATCACTTTACAGTGTATTACATTTCTCTTTTCCAGAAGGAATATGATGCATATCAGTCAATACAGAGACATTAAAATCTCCATTTCTTTTTTTTTTCTTTTCTGTCTCTGCTTTTATAGTCATATGCTTCATTATTTCAGTACATCTTTCATAAGCCCTTTGCCTTGATTAGAGTTTGTTCATTTACTTAAAATTAATCCTTTTCAATGTCTGCTACTACTTCAACCACACAGGTGTATAGGAGACCCTATTGTAGGAAGGCTGAGGAACAGGGACTGCTAGACTGGAAGGGGCCAGCTGGCTGCTATTTCAGGCTTCACACACCATGCATCCTGTGTGAAAGCACTCGCTGTGCTCTGGCAGAGGATAGCAGTCAGAGACCACACATAAACTTAGGAGAGTGGCTGTTTCAATAAAACTTTATCTACAAAAGCAGGCGACAGTGGTTTCGGTCTGCCGCCCACTTTGCTGACCCCTGTGGTAGAAGATAGAGTACTAGGAGGTAGTGTAGCTGGAAAGGCAGGAAATCAGGAGACAACTGAGAAAGCTAGTTTTTTCATGTTCTTTTTTTACTTGTTAAGTTTATTTCTTCCATGACAGAGAGAGGAAAGCATCCCCAACAGTGTCTTCACACCACAATCCACCCCCAGCCTGGGCCACGGGCGTGTACATGCACACATAGTGTGTACAGAACTCAGGACACCAACTCAAGGCCTTCTCATGAGTCCAGCTGCACAGAGCATTCCACGACTACTGCACCCCTGTCTGGCCCTCAATATAATTTTCATATTGCTTTCAAATAGCAGGAGGAAATTGCTTTATTTCTAACTAGTAACATAAAGAGAAGGCATTTATAGTCTGAACCAACCCTGTGATGCATAATTCTTATCTCAGATTACTGAAAACTTATCTAGGAACTGCATCAGGATACAGTATTTCAGCATATTTAAAGTCCTTACTGTAAAGCTGGGTCAGTAAACTAGGACCTAGGAGCCAAATCAGGTCAACCACCTGTTTTCCTAAAGTTTTATAGAATGACAGCCATGCCCATCATCTTCTTTATGGCTGCCCTTGCTCTACAAAGGTGCTTCATAAACTTGTTTGCACACTTCTTCTAACTGAAAAAAATAAAAACTCTCCCAGTGTTTCAATTATTTTAATGTATAATTTTAAAAACTTCATAAACTTAAGCTGAGAGCTATTTCATAACTCAAAAATATGTATATCATTAAATGGATTCCAGACCACAGAAACAAACACACCTAACAATAATGTGGCTGATGGCTACTAATTCATTGTCCAAAGTGAATATGGACCTGCCTGCTATTGTTCACATTGTCATTCAGCCTGCTGCTGCTACACCTGATTTGCTGGGGCTTATGGGGTCTTTTTATGTTGTGTGTGTGTGTGTGTTTGTTTGTTTGCTTGCATAGAGAGCATGCACTCACCAGAGAGAGAAATTATCCCTCAGCAGATATGACCATGTTGTAATCCCTCCTCCTCCATTCTTCGCCTGGGATTTTGAGCACACATGCCCACCATTCTTTTCAAGCCACCAAGTCCAGGACTCAAACTTCAGTTGTCCATGGGGGAATCTAGCGCACTACTACCACACCACCTGCTGGCCTGCTGGCTACTTTGTTGTTTCTTTGTTTGTTTTTAACTAACCTTCATTTGTAACCATGTGATTCATTGTCTGACCTTCATTTGAAAGATTTTTTTCTGCTTCTGTTCTTTTCTCCTTAAGCACAAAATTGTTAAAGTTATGCTCTTTGGAGCCAACAAGACCATAAATACTAACAAATGTCCTGAAATCAGGGACAATACTAGGTTATACATTCATTTTCCAAATGATCCCAGAGTGTGTTTGAAGTTTGTTTTTAGATTTTCATAGAAATGAACACATAAAAATTGCTAAAATTCTTTGGTACCTGGAAGTATGTCTGTAAATCCTGGTTTGAGAACATTGATCGAAAAATATGTTTCGTCAAGCACCTGAATACTTGACACTGAATACATTGAATTCTCTGATCAGAAATTAACCATGCATTGATTGAGATCAGGACTTGTCTAAAGGTCATGTGAGCCTTTTGATACTGAAGGAAAAAAAAAAAACACAGCCAGGTTTCCTTCCATTTCTCTGAGCCCACAAGGGCTCTCACCCTTTTCTGTTGACCCTTCCATACTGGTGGAGCCCAGGGACCTCGTCTCCAAATAGTGTCTGTAAACATGTACAGTGAAACACAAGACTTTAAAGAAAACCAATTACATAAAGCTTTCTTTGTAAAATCCAAGTTATGGTGCTGCAATATTGATTCTTAATAGATTAAATAACAGGACATAATGGGAATTTCAGTCACTTCCACAAGTGCTAAATGATAAGAAATATCTGTGGTTTCTGTTGAAGACAGATTCACACATCCTGCTGATACAATTACACTTTGTTGCCTACATTCATACTGAGGAAATATTAGATTTTAGTTACTAAGAATAAAGATACTGATTTTTTTCCTTATCTTCACATTCAAAAATGCCTTGAGGAGTGAGGGGTAAGAAGTCTTGCTCTAAAGTGGATTTGTGTGTTTTGGGTATGCATGTGTGTATATATAATCTGCACATACTGCATGTACACATACCATGTTAGACTTTCTAGAAAGTTACATATCTCAACCATGTCAGGTCATCTTCCAACAAAGACACCTTCAGTCTTATACATTCAGCATTGTAATAATTGATTCAACAGATATTTAGCATTTGACATACACATAAATGTATTAGAATGCCTATTTTGATGTATTTTTTTTACCCTCAAAGTCACTCTTGAATACTTACACCATCATCTCTTATATAAGAATGTAAACAGGGACCAGCAGATAGTGTAATAGTTATGACCAGCAGGTCGTATAATGGACTCCCACGTAGTTAACCAGAGTTCAAGACCCAGACCTGGCAGTTTAAAATTCACGCCAGGTGTGCGTGCATGCATGGTCAAGATCCTGAGAGAATGGAGGAGAAGGAATTGCACTGTGGTCATCCCCCCAGAGAGTGATTTCTCGCTTTCTGTCTCTCTGTCTCTGTCTCTGTGAGCACATACACACTATAGCAAAGATTTCTAGAAAAAAGAAAGAGGAAAGAAAAGAACCTAAACAATAAACATTTCCTAGAATTTGTTACAGGACAAAGTATTCCTGTCCTTAAATGATTTTCTTCTTGACCTTAATTACCACAAAATTTTGGGTTAAACTCATTGCTCTGTTGCAGAAATGAACTTGAGTCATCTGTACTTTTTATAAACTGTCATGTTATATTGTCATCTTTACTAGGATCTGTTGATGATGGAGCAAGTGAAAGACTTTGCTGCTAACGTGTACGAAGCTTTTAGTACCCCTCAACAACTGGAGAAATGATTTTCCCTCGAGAACTACAGTGGGATTCACTTACACTGAAAAAATAAACCACACCTAGAGTAACAGTTTGTTACTGAAATGCCTAATAAACATATATTCTTAAACAAAGTCTCCATTTCATAATGAAATAGATTTATTTGACATCTTAATATATTTTTTAAATTCATCAACAGACCAGTTTCTGTGGGCATATCTCAGTGTACACACAGTGCAAAGATCAGAATTGTTAATCATTTGTTACTCCATGGACATTAGTTCCAAACTGACTAAAAACTAATGTAGATAATGTTTTTATATGTGTAATATGTTGTGCAGTGTACTTTGACATTAATACCAAGGAGAAATCTGGGAAATAGGTCTAGGGTGTGTAAAATTTGGAATGTACTGTAGTTTTTGGACTTTAGTAAATGAAGTGAATCAGACTCCTGCAGCTACTCTTCAAAGGAATAAATTATTTGTCTCAAATATACCTTGATGGAAGACTTTTCTTATGCAAATCAGTGAATTTCAACAACTATGATCAGCTGTTTTTTTCTTTGCCTTTTTATTTTTGCTGTATTTTCAAAGGCTTTGTTAACGAGCCTTAGAAAGGTACATACTGATTTAGAGGCTAAAATTGTGTTGATGCTGTTTACTCACAGCTATTATTTGTATATAAATAATTTTAATAACTTACTTTGTATTGATTTTGAGTACAGCAAATATCTTATTGCAATAAACTATTTTAGTAAAATATGGTTCTGTTGAGTTAATACTTTTCAGCCATTAACTTCTTTGTCCTATAGCATTTTTTGCTGTTATTTTGGAAGCGAGAGCACAAGTTTTATTTTAACTGGTAGTATAATGGGTGCTTTCTTTTAACTTGTTTACAAAAAATAAGTAAATAGCATTACCACTGAAAAAGAAATAATTCCTTGTCTCTAGTAAATCTATAGTTGTGCATTTAATAGGGTAATAAGGGCAGAAATAAATGAATCATTTGCGTATCACTAGCACAGTAGATGTTTTCAGCAATACAGAATATTTTCAGTCACATAATTTTATGTTCCACCCACATAATATATAGCTAAATAATAGGAGGTAGGAAATGAATTGTGAAGTCTCTTCTGAGGCCTCGCTAGGCCTAGAACGGGCTGCTTGGGAACCGTGTTTAAAATAGAGGTGTGGGCCAGCCCACAGTGTGGTGGTTTTGGTCTGCCTGCCTCAGTTCCTCTCCTTATTCACACCAGAACTCAATCACAAGTACCTTCCCTAATGACTGTCACACCCAAAGGCCCCACCCTGGGACAACACTTTTACAAAACAACCAAGTGAATCTTCAGAGGACATACCATTATCCTAACCATAACACATAGACACACACATATTTTAACTTTAAATAGTCTTATTTTTCAGTTGTTGCTGTGGGACACTGGTCTGCCCTAACTTTTCAATGTAGGTGTGCTGAGCCAGGGCACTGGGGGCTAGCGATTAGAATCACTACTTTCCAGCACAGGTCCGCTGACAGGTGGTTTCCATTTTTCTTTCTTATACCAATCCCATGTATTGGATTACATAGGTGTGAACCAGAGATGCAGAATTCTTGCAGATTTTTCTATATTCCCTAATCTTTCAGAACTGTCTTGCCCACCCTTAACTAATAGCCTAAAGAAATTTTTAAAAATGTTTAAAGGCAACATACTTTTATCTGGTTTTTACAAATCATTCAGCTCAGCTTCCACAGAAACTACCACTCTGACAATCATGTTGTCAGCCTATATCATGATGAAAGCTCAAATGGCATAATCAATCAGGTATCTGTAGTTTCCTAGAGTGGCCATGACAAATCAACACTAACTGGGTGGCTTCAAGCAACAGAAATTTATTCACTCACAATTCTGTTGGCGAGAAGTCTAAAATCCAGGAGCCTGCAGGGCCGTGCGTGCTTCCTCTGAAGGCTCTCAAGGTCCTGCCAGCTCTCCTGGCCTCATGACTCCAGGCACCACTTTGCCAATAGCAGCTTAACTCCAATCTCTGCCTCCTCTTCACATGGCCTGTGTGTGTGTGTCTGTGTCTTTTTCTGTCTCTTATTAGGATATTGTTCTCACTGGATTTAGGATCCACCCAAATTGAATATGAGCTTATCTCAATACTTAACCTTAATTTTATTTGCAAAGACAGTTTCCAAGTAAGATCACAGTCTGAGGTCCCATTGGTGAGCACTGTTCGGCCCACTGCAGTGACAGATGCAGCTGCCCACGGCCACGGGCAGAAGTACAAGATGTGCCTGCTCCCTGAAAGCCTGCCTGCAGCTTGTCCTGGGCGCCATCAGTCAGTGTGTTCTTCCAAGGAGATGGAGACGTCCGTACAGCACGTTGGTAAAATGGATATCACTGAAAAGTGCTTCTACCTTTTCTCTTCCAAACTCATATAAATGCGATTGTTACTGTATACATATGAAAATCCGATAGTATTTTTTAATAATTTTTCTATTTGTTTAGAAATTTGGCAGGAAGATTCTTATCTAACTAAGCCTTTTACTAACAGAAATGAAAGGAACCAAAGGCAAAACATCTGTTGTATTTTCTGTTGTCCTTATTCATATTTATTTGAATGTACTCACCTTGTAGAGCAACTGTGTTGCTTCAATATGGGAAACATAAGAAAATAAGATGAAATCTTATTAAAGTGATAGGCATATTTAAACTAGCAAAGTCAACATCAGTGTCTAGATTACTCTGTCTAGTGATCTAGTTTGGTTTGCTTTCAATATTTTTCTAGGCACTGGAGTTCAAAGTTACTGAAAATGGGACCAGCAGGTGGTGTGGTGGTTAAGGTGCTAGACTCCCACATGGCCAACTGTGGTTCAAGTCCAGACCCAGCAACTTGAAAATTGTGCTGGGCACATGTGCATGTGTGCCTAAAATCCCTAGAGGAGAAGGGATTGTGTTATGGTCATCCCCCTGGGTTGATTTCTCACTTTTTTTCTCTCTGTATCTCTTTGTGTCTCTCCTTTGTGGTGAGTTCATGTACCTATGACAAAAACCTAAAAAGAAAAAAAAATACTGAAATTCAGGGCCAGCACCACAGCACTTAACCATGGTTAAGCACTGTGCGTGCGGAGCCAGGTCCCACATGGCCCACCATAGCTCAGATCCCAGCCCTGGCAGCTTGCAAGACACGTGGGATGGTGAAATGGAAAAAGGATTGCAGTGTGACCATGCTCCATCAAGGGATGCCTTTTCTCTCTTTCTTTCTCTCTCAGTCTGGCAAGAATACACACATTCTAACAACTAGACAAAAAAAAAAAAAAAAAGTTACGGGGCCAGCCAGATAACATGGTGGTAAAGTGGCTGGATCCTACAGACAGTCTATATAGTTCAAGTTCTGCACCTGCAGCTTGAAAAACACCAGGTACATGTGTGTGCATGCCCAAAATCTTTAGAGAAGGAGGATCACAGAGTGAGTTCTTGCTTTCTTTTTTTCTTTTTGTCTCCCTGGTGAGCACACACACACTCTCTAGCAAACACATATGAATAAACTTTAGAAAATTAAAATGTAAAAATACTGAATTTTTTTTTAGTTTGTTGCATGCACTCACTGCAGAGAGACAGAGAGAGAGGGAAAAGGAGAAAGCTCTTCCCAATGGGGTGGGGCCATGCCACAATCCTGTCTCAGCTTTTCCAACCTGTAGGGATTTGGGGCACACATGCACAAGTGCCTGGAGCTTCTTCAAGCTGATAGGGCTGGGATTCGAGCTGTGTAATTGAAAAGTTACTGAAATTTAAACAAAGTAATTTAAAAAAAAAAGATTTTTGCTAGAGGGCACATGTGCTTGCAGGAGAGACAGACAGACAGAGAGAGACAGAGAGCAAGAAATCACCCCCTGGGGTGGGGCGGCTACACCACAATCCCTTCTCTTCAATTCTCCTCTTGGGATTTTGGGCACATGCACCTAGCATGAGTTCTAAGCCTCCGGGTCTGGGACTTAAACTGCTAAACAAAGTAATTCTGTACCTAAATAACTCTAGAAAAGAATTAATTGGTTGGAGGATAAAGACTTACTGGCTTAAATTGGGCAAGAAAAGGTCTGATTTTTAATTGTCCTTACTATAATGCTTGCCCTCTTTAGCACAGATAATTCTGTAAATTTGCCAGTGTTTGAGTCCTTGTTGAGACCAAGTTGTAAAAGTTTACATGTAAACAAGAAATACCTTAAATAAACTTAAATTTGGCGTATCCTACTTTTTCTTTTGTACTGTCCAGTTATTTGGCAAAGAACTTTCAGTGTCTCTGAAAGGTTGAGCTGTATTTTGTCATTTAGCTCCCTCCTTATGGATCATTAAATGCTATATCTGTCTGTAATGTACTTATGTATTCCTATTATCGCCTTTATTCTTCATTTTAAAAGGTGGACAGACAGGGTAGAAGTTCAAGTGGCGCACGGGTTTGAGTCTCGAAAGTACTTTGTTCAAACAGATCATCATATTTTGTGTTAGGACTCCTGTCACGTCATTTGATTGGGTTTTGCTTTCCTGTTTGTTTCTCAGTTTCATGTTTGAAATCATACAAACCTGTCATTGCATCTAATAAAACACTAATTAGCACTTAAGAATATTAAGGTATTTATCCACTATAGCTAAGTTTGGCATGGTTTCAAAAATTCAGTAGTTGCAGGAACTATAGCAATAAGTACTTGATTTCAAAAGTATTCAGCCTTGGCATGGTGGTTAAGGGAAATGGATTCCCATATGGCCGACAGTGGTTTGAGTCCCAGACCTAGCAGTCTAGCTTTCTCTCTCTCTCTCTCTCTCTCTCTCTCTCTCTCTCTCTCTCTCTCCCCCTCCCCTCTCTCTCTCTCCCCGCCCCTCGTCTCTCTCTGGTCAAATTAAAAATAAATAAATAAAGTTAAATAAAATAATTTTTTTAAACAAGTATTCGGCCTTACTATTACTTTATAAAATAAATGTAGTGAATAATGTTTTATTTCGCTCTCTGAAGAAATTTGGAAACAATGAGATGCCTGCCTTTGACTATTGTGTCCAAATGGAAATTACAGTGTTTCAAATATAGATATGCCTATGTTGAACACCTTGGGTTGAGGGGAATGAGTTTTATCATCAGTTTTTCTTTACATTAAAATCAGTATTATTTTTGCTTCATTTTAGGGAATATCTGAATACACTTACTAATTTTCAACTAATTTAATTTTTGAAGGCAAATAAAGCAAGCAAACTTACTCATTTAAATTGGATCTCAAATTAGCTCATCTATAAGAACAGATCCACATCCCCAGCCCTGACTTCCTTACACACACACACACACACACACACACACACACACACTGTAAGAATATGTACTAAAATATATAGGTGATCTCAACAGTGACTTTATCTTTTGAGCATTTCTGTATGTTTCAAGATACCTACAATGAATGCGTATCAGCTCTACAGTTAAGAGGGGGTAAAAGACAAAACAATTTTATAAAAAGACCATTAGTGGAAGCTCTGGAAATACATACCCGGCTCAGTTTATTACGTCCCACCTATATTAGCTGGCAAGGACTGCCATAACAAAAGCCACAGCATGGTGGCGTAAACAACAGAAATGCACTTTCTCACCATTCTGGAGGCCAAGATCATGATGTTGACTGATTGTGTTCTCTGGGGGCCTCTCTCCTTGACTTGCAGGTGGCTTCCTTCTCACTGTGTCTTTACATGACCTTTCCACTGGGCCGTTGCCCCCAGTCTCTCTTCCCCAGCTTAAGGATACCAGTCCTACTGGATTGGGGCCCCTTCCTTTTGACCTCATTTCATCCTAATTACTTCTATAAAAAGGGCCTGTTGCCAAATACAGTCACATTGGGGGTTAGGGCTTCAGTTAAACACAATTCAGTACAGCACCACCAACTCCTACCTACTCTAAAGCAGCAGAAAATACCTGTTCTCTCACACGTGGCAACAAATTCAATGTTGAGAAACTTTAATGGCAAAGTATGTTGCAGAGTTAAGATAGTTACATGGGGAATTAAGGGAGAAAGAGGAAAGGTAGGCTGAATTGCCTAAATAATGACTTGATTTTTCTTGACCAGTTTTACACTTACTCTCTCCATGTGCCCCAATGATAGAAGCCTGCTGTTTCTTAGTCTCAGCTGAAACTGCAGCATGGGCCACCTTGCTGTGCATTAGATTACATTACTTAGCGCTAGAGTCCAGCCCCATTTACAGGGCATCTGATGAGAGGTTAGCTGTGGCAGTTCTACTGTAATGCCATTGCGCTCCAAAGGAGTCCATTTCAGTGACTGTCCATGTCCCAGTAGTTTTACCTGAAATTAAAAACATATATACATGTCTTCAAATGCCTGTCTTTGTAAGTCACCCACTTTCTATGAGAAACAGTAATTAGTAGTATGGCTTTTCTTCTTAATTATTTTATTTAATTTTATTTATTATTATTTTGTATTTTGACCAGTGACACACAGAGAGAGAGAGAGTGGGAGGGAGGGAAAGTGAGAAAGCAAGCTGCTAGGTCTGGGACTCAAACCATGGACAACCATGTGGGAGTCCAACACCTTAACCACCCTGCCACCTGCTGGCCTCCTGATTAGCATTTCTAAAGTACTGCCTCTAAGAGTGTCTTTGCTTTAAAAGAATTATTTATTTACATATTTATTTAATTCCATTTGTTATTATTATTTTTAATTTGACCAGAAAGAGACAGAGAGAGAGAAAAAAGGAAGGTGAGAAAGCAAGCTGCCAGGTCTGGGACTCAAACCATGGTTGGTCATGTGAGAATCTAGTGCCTTTAAAACCACGCCACCTGCCAGCCCTGGAGATTCATTTTTTACTGTAATGTACTGATTCACAGGGTGTCTTAACTCTTGATCCAATCAAGTGAATCCATCTATCTTTCTCCTATATTGATCTCATAATGAAAGTGTGAAAGGGCTGAGGAAGAACTATAAACATTTCGATGGAGTGTCAGAGTAGGAGAAAGGCTGAAGAGAGAATTGGGGATAGAAACGACTCTGGAACCAACCTGCCCAATGAAGGCCTACCCAGCTTTTGTGCAGAATGTTTGGAGAAAGTCTCTCTCTTATTCAGCCATCGTTCCTGTCCAGATTTTCCAATAATCTCCACTACTCAACAATACATGATTCTGATCAATCATTATACCCTGTAATTGTCTCATAGCTTCAGCCTTAATGTTTATATCAAATGAATTCAAATAAGTAGTTTTCTACATATTTGAAGGTTATTTTGAACAATAAAACTACTTATCCGTAGATCACTGCAAAACCAAAATTCATGTAATCTTAAACAATAATACTAATTGGTGTCAAAGGGAACATATATAAAATAAAAGATAATTGATGTCAGGCTCATGTATTAAGTTGTAATTACAGCTAGGTTTGAACTCCATCTTCTTTCTGCCTGATCAACCATAAGTGTTAGAAATGAAATGTGAACAGATGGATGTAAGGAGAATCAGATGGACAATTCGCTTCCTAAGGGATCATCATTTTTTAAAAAATAAGCTATAAAATATATCAGAATGAATTCAATGTCAGACCTGTTAGTTCTAACAGGTTAATCTTTAAATTTCTCCCAGACTTTTTATAAACTTAAAGTAGTAGGGTCACGACATCTCACTTCCATTCTTTTTTATTTTTTTAAGAATTATTTATTTGGGGACCAGCAGTTAGCATAATGGCTATGTCACTGGACTGCCATATAGTCAGCTGCCGTTTGAGTCCCAGACCCGGTGGCTAAAACTCACGCTGGGCACGTGTGCGTGCGTGCCCAAGATCTCAAGAGGAGCATGGAGGAGAAGGGATTGTGGTGTGGCCATTCCCCCCGGGGGTGATTTCTCACTTTCTATCTCTCTGTCTCTCTCTGTCTTTCTGGCAAGCACACACGCCCTGTAGCAAAAACCTCTCCAAAAAAAAAAAAAAAAAAAGAATCATTTATTTTAATTTTATTTATTTATTGTATTGATTGGTTGATTGATTTTTACCCACTGGAGAGAGAGAGAGGGATTGTGAGAAAGCAGCCACAAGGTCCAGGACTCAAGCCACAGTCGGCCATGTGCGAGTCCAGCGCCTCAAACACCACACCTCCTGCTGACCCAGCATCTCACTTTTATTCAGATGTGTTCTACCTTGGGTGTCGAGAAGCACCTGGATTCCAGTTTTATGAAAAGAATCATGTTGGATGCATTCAGTGGACTTGAACAAGGTCGAATGACGGCAAAGAATAATGTCTATTTTTTACTAATATGCATGGAAATAATGTAGCTGTTTCCTGAGTTTACTTTTCTGAGAAATAAAGTTTTAAAGGTTTTGGCCAAACATTTACCATTAATGATGCTGATTTTAAAATTACCTTTATGTGTTGTAAGAACAGTACATACCCCTTTTAGGCTAAATTAAAACTTCTATTTTCATTAGGAATATTCTAGTTAGCAATTTAAAAGAACAATAAAGATAAAATTCCCTCTTACCTCTGTTGCTCCCAGAGTACCTTTGGGTTGGCCAAGAAACAGCTGTCCTGATATGGGCCATTTAAGAAAAATGGCATAGACCAAATTTTCTTTAGGTCTGGATGTGTACCTGGTTAAGAGAACAAAGCATAGTAACAAGGTGCATTCGTGTTTCTTATTATGGGTCAGATCTGGGCCTGTGGGTGGGGACGGTGTTCTTTAGACACGGTCTTGCTCTGTTACGGCCCTCCTGCCTCATTTCCCCAAGGAGCTAAGGCCATAGGCGTGCCACTCTACCCTTTTTAGGGTGGGCCAGGAATCAAACCCAGGCCTACTCAGCCTGCCAGGCAGCAGCATCCAGCATGTGCTACCGCAGCTGGGCCCACACCTGGAATTTTTTTTACAGCGATACTTCCATGGAGTAAATATTTACCAATGACTCCATCAATAGAAGGAGAGAAAAACAGCCCCATGGTGGTCTAAAAGCACCTTCCTCTTCCACGCCTCCAGTACTAACAAGGAATTCTTAGACAAGGAAAATGTTCTTGGGCTAGTATTCTTCATCAGACTGTTTGTATGTATGTATGTATGTATGTATGTATGTATGTATTTATTTATTTATTTTTGGAGAGGTTTTTGCTATAAGGTGTGTGCACTCGCCAGAAAGACAGAGAGAGACAGAGAAACAGAAAGCAAGAAATCACTTCCCGGGATGGCCACGCTGCAATCCCTTCTCCTCCATTCTCCTCTCAGGATCTTGGGCACGCATGCACATGCACCCGGCATAAGTTTAAGCCACCGGGACCAGGACTCGAACTGTGGTCAACCACATGAGAGTCCAGAGACATAGCCATTATGCCAACTGCTGATCCTCATCAGACTGTTCTGCTGGTCCCCATCAGACTGTTCTTAAGAAGCTGAAAAAAGTGGGGGGATGGAGGTGAGCTAAGGGGGTTGGATGAAAGAGCAACACTAGGTGGCTTTCCATGTCTGATTCAACTCTCTATGTTTACTCCCCAGCAGTGTGCCTATTGCTGTGCCCAGTGTTAGAAATGCAATGAGGGACCAGAAGTGACGTGGTGGCTAAAGCGCTAGACGCTCCCACATGGCTAACCACAGTTCAAGTCCTGGACCTGGTGGCTCTCTCTCTCTCTGTGTGTCTCTCTCTAGTCAAATTAAAATACATGAATGAATGAATAAATAAAATTAAATAATTATTTTTTAAAACAAGAAATGCAATTGGGAGGAAAACACATAGTTCTTCTGAAGCTTAGATTATACAGGGACAGACATTAAACACAAGTAACATGAAAGTGTAAGTTTTGATACACATGAGAGGAAAAAGGAAATTGAGAGATTATAATAAGGGGATCTTCTTGATTTAATCATCAGAAGCCTCATCAAAGAAATGACATTTGGGACCAGCAGATGGCGTAATGGTTACATCGCTGAACTCATACGTGTGACCTAGCTGCTTAAAACACCAGCCAGGCAGGTGTGCATGCATGCCCAAGATCCAAAGAGGAGAATGGAGAAGGGACTGCAGCATTGCCATCCCCCCGGAGGGTGATTTCTCACTTTCTGTCTCTCTGTCTTTCTCTGTCTCTCTGGCAAGCACAAGCCTATAGCAAAAAATCTCACTACCAATAAAGAAAGAGGAAAAAAAGAAAGAGAGAAAGAGAAAGAGAAAGAGAGAAAGAGAGAAAGAGAGAAAGAGAGAAAGAGAGAAAGAGAGAAAGAAGGAAGGAAGGAAGGAAGGAAGGAAGGAAGGAAGGGAGGAAGGAAATGACATTTAATCTGCAGCTTAAAGCATGAATGAGAACAAAGGAGAAGGTATAGGAGTGTGCTCTAGACAAAGAAACAGCTCGTTCACTTATCCACTGAATTATTCTATGTGTTGAAATCTTTAAATGCTAGTCTCTATCTCAGAGTCAGAGACTGAACAAAGTCCCTGTCTTCATGGAGCTTGCATTCTAGTGGGAATAATTAGAATGAGCAAATAAATACAAGTCTCTTCATCTTGCGATACTGCAACTCTGTCACCGTAAAACAATAACTTCCCACTTCCTCCTCCTCCAGCCTCTCAAAACCGCCTTTCCAGTTTTGTGATAACTGTCCTGAAAGTTTATTCATGTTGTAACATATGTTACAATTGGCTTCACTTTTTTTTTTTCTCTTTTAGGTTTTCACCATAGGTCACATGTGCTTGCTGGAGAGAGACAAAGAGTGAGAAGGAAGTGAGAAATCAGCCGCAAGAGGGATGGTCACGCTCCAGTTCCTTCTCCTCCATTTTCCTCCTGTGATTCTGGGCACTCATGCACATGTGCCCGGCATTGAGTTTCCAGTCACCAGGTTCAGGACTCAAAGTATGGTAAGTCATGTGGGAGTCCAACACCTTAATCATCATGCCACCTGCTGGCCTCGAATTTCCTTTTTTTTCCCCCCAAAGCCAAATGTATGTATTTACTAGTTTGCTTCTCCATTTATCTGTCAATAGATACTTGGGTTGCTTCCATATTTGTTATTGTGAAGAATGCTGCTATGAACAGGGGTATACAAATATCTCATGAATCCCTACTTTCATTCTTTTGGGTGTACACCCAATAATGGAATTGCGAGATCACATGGTAAGTCTAATTTTTTTTTTAGAGGTTTTTGCTATAGGGCGTATGCGCTTGCCAGACAGACAGAGACAGAGAGATAGAAAGCGAGAAATCACCCCCGAGAGGGGATGGCCATGCCACAATCCCTTCTCCTCTTGGGATCTTGGGTATGCACGCTCACGCACCTGGTGTGAGTTTTAAGCCACCGGGTCCGGGATGTGAACCGCGGTCAACTATGTGGGAGTCCAGTGACATAGCCATTACTCTAACTGCTGGTTCCTTTTTTTTAAAATTATTTATTTATTTATCCATACTGTTTTCCACAGTGACTGTGCCATTTGACATTTCTACCAACAATGTCCAGGCTTCCGATGTCTCCATATCCTTTGCAACATATGTTATTTTGTACTTTTTCTTTCATAGTAACCAGTCTAATGGACATGAAGTAGTATCTCAGTGTAGTTTGACTTGCATTTCCCTAATGATTAGTGATGCTGAATATCTTTTCTTGTGCTTATTGGCCATCAGACATTTCTACCAGTACTACTGTTGTCTACGTGAGGAGACAGGTGAGTGGTGCTTCCTAACCTGCCAGCTTCCCAGAATCCACTCTATTTTGACTGATTTTTGATCGTACCTTTTCTCCGCTTTCGAGTATCTTTTGCTTGCTAATTTGATAAGCTATAACGCCTGCAAAAATCAGCATTTACCAAACTGACTAAACTAATCTTTGGTTTGGGTCAAATAGACTTGGTAAAGGAAATGACTTACCACACATCTGGAGTGACAGTGTCATTCTGGGATCGCCAAGTGTGTGTCTCATAAATGGCTTCCCCATTGACTTTTAGCCAGAACCCCATTTGCCTTAATCGCTCCTCAAAGATTGCAGAAATAGTGCCATCTAGGGTGGGTCCAATATTCATCAGAAGATTACCTCCACAGGACACTGTTTCTACCAGTTGCTAAAAAAATGAAGAATAAATATGGTTCTTAGAGAAATAGAACAATTCCATCTTTAATGTGCTACTACATGGTATTGGATTGTTGGAAAAGTCATGATGCACTTTGGCATAGAAAATAATATGCCATGACTTTTCTGACAACTCAATTTTTATACATGTGTAATACAGTCATTATCCAGAAGAACAAACAGAATAGAAAAATGCCCTATTTTATGGGCCACTGAGCTATATGTAAGAAATAATTCCCACACAATCACACTAGGAGGAACATTATGAAAACAGTCACCAGGTATTCTGTGGTACCTTCACCAATTCTTCAATTGTCAGGTAGTCGGAGATCCAAGCATCCCTCCGATAGCCCCAGGAGAACTTGTCTATGGTCATGCAGTTTTCCCATTTATGTGGCAAAAGGTGTCCTGGGTTGTAACGGTCACTGCAGGTGTAGTAGCCACCATGCTTGCAGATGCTCCCATCTCCCCAGCGATCATTGGTGACCACTGTATCCCGAACTGGGCTGAAATGAAAATGTTTTAAAACAAACAAACAAAAAATCTTTATACAAAAGAAAATGTCACTGAAAAGAGGTCTAAAACTCTACTCCTGGAAAACAATCACAGCATAAGGTAGTGGAAAGACCATGGTTTAGAAGTCAAGTAGACCCGAGCTGGTTGGAGTCCTGGCCCTGTCCTTTCCTAGCTCCCAAGCCTAGAGTTAGTTACCTAACTCCTGAAAAATGAATGTTCTCATCTCTTATTAAAACAAAATTAAGTGATATAAAACACTGAGCCCAGTGCCCAGCACATATCACACTTATAAGACTACTATACTATTATTTGAAGCTCTCCCCCAACCCATACTGTTAACGGTAGCCAAGACTGAGTTTATGCTCAAGACATTTTTCTCTCCAATGACTGAATAATCTCATGCATATATTCAAGTCTTTCTCATTCTCTTACGATTGTGCCTAATATTAAAAAATCCCAGGAAAAAAATGGCTGCTGGCAATATGTGAAATATCCCAACATTACCTATCATAGCAGGTGGTACAGCTAGAGGAGACCCCACGTACTTAGAGGGAACAGTTTTGATCCATGAATTGAAGTGAGTGATTCCCAGCATCTTCCTTTGGCAGGAGTACCTAGAGACACTGCTGTTTTAGGAATCCACAGGACTCCAGAATATGCCCTTCGTGGGCCCAGGAAGCTCAATGAGGCTGCCTGACCTCACAGCACACCACCAAAGGCTTTCTAGTTACATCTGTAAGTATGGTCCATACAGTCCACGCCTGGTCGAGGCGTTCAGTCAGAGCTCCTTGTTCTAGTGGGGCAGCTTTGAACATGCGAGGGATTAATAGTAAAAAAGATGAAGCAGTGAGAATGCAGAAGATAAAAGAAGAGAGGAGATGGACAAGGTGACAGAATGGGCAGCAAAGGTCATTAGAAAGTAAGAACAGAGTTGATGCTGTGGTGAAGGGGCAACCACTTGCCACTCAAGAGAAGCCGGAGGCCACACGGTGCCCATGGTTCGGCTCTCCAGCCTGCTCAGTCTGAAACATGCTGGGCACGCATGTGAGTACCCAGGGCCCAGCAGGCTGGAGAACTGCCTGAAGTACGACTAGACCCTATAGAGAGCGATCATCTCTCTCTCTCTCTTTCTCACACACACGTGCATTTGTGCACATGCTTCCTATCACACATTCAGAAAAACAACAAAGAAAGATTAAAAGAAGCAGTTAGAAGAACTGAAAAGCACATCATCAGAAACAGTGGTGAATAAACAGAATGGTCCCAGAAGAGGGGCCAGGAGAGACAGAAGTAAGAAATGAAAAGACCCACAAAATTAATACCTTCAGAGTTCTTGATCCAGCGACTTTTAGTTTCATTTCAAAACCAGACTATTGAGTTGTCTGACTGAGGTGTATTTGACTCCTGATTTGTTTACGCTTGGTTATTGTGAGTTAGGATTCATATATCTAATAAGCACTATTAGCAATGATCTCCACTCCTCCATATGAGTCTAAAAGGAAGTATTTCAAGAAGCAAGGGAAGGGCAATGTTACAAAGTCCGTAGACCAGGACTGCTGAAGGCCACCACAGCCCTCCTGACACCGTACACACCTGTCATTGTACAGCCAGGCGAGGAAGCCGGTGCTGTTCCAGTAGCTGTCCGGCGCCCCTCCGTCGCCATCCGACCACAGCACCTCCGGCTGGTACTTGGTCACCAGCTCGTAGAGCTCAGGCAACGTCTTAGAAACTGGAAACTGTCGTTTGCGAAAGGACCCGAGCTGATCCTCAAGGAAGAGAGGGTGAAACCATTCAAAAAGGGAGTAGTACAGTCCAAAACGCAAGTCAGTCCTGTTCCTGATGGCCACCTCGAGTTCCTTGACGATGTCCCTCTTGGGCCCTTCATCTACAGCATTCCAGTTCCAAGAATACTCTGAAGCCCACAAGGTAAAGCCTGGAAAAGTAGGTGAAAAACCCTGTAAGCAGAGCAATGTTAGTACATTTCCACCCACACAAATGCCAAAACCCACTAGACGGTACACGTGATGCTTTAAAACTCTACAAATGGCTATTTTATGACAGGTTTTTTTGGGTTTTTTATTTTTATTTATTTATTTTTTTTGGTCATAGTATTTAGTGGACATTTATAAGAGAAATAAATGTGAATTTAAACAAGGTGGAACTGAGATATAAAAAGCAACTTTCAGGGTATACTAGGGTCAGTGTAGTCGCATCTACTGCCAATATTTTCCCTCTTAGACTTGAAGGGCCTTGGGGGATAGTGTTCCCTACTCTACCACCCACTGCTAGCAGGATATGGCATGAAATAAGCAACCACAGCAGACCACAGCTGAAGTGGGGACATCTTCCACACCTACCGTAATCTATGATGGCTCCAGTTTATAATGATCTGAGACGCAGTCCTTCAAGATTCTTACTTGTCTTCTCAAATAAAGATTAAAGTTATATTGGCTAGTTTTAGGGTTGACTATTTTGTTACCCTGTGATTCTTTAAACACTGGTGTTCCATGTGTGGTAAATCTCTTTTAGCCTGATTATTTGTGTAACCGGGTTAGGAGGAGGAGACATTATATTTCCCAGGAGTTCAGTACTTGAAAATACACCTCCCATTTGCAATCTCATCCTATTCAACATCTAAGGAACTTAGATGTTGTTCTTCACCCCAAACTGAATAATCTACCAACTACATAAGAAAAAGAGTGCATACTATTAAACAAGCACTTTTAAATAATTCATATTTTAACTGGAGTTTGCATTTAGAGTCTTAGAAGAAATATATAAACAGAAATAATTCAGAAACAATAAATAAGCCTCAAAAAAAAAATGTCAGGTGCTCCTTGGAGATATAAGTACATTGTTTTACTAAAATTAGAATCTTTAAAAGCTGGGTGTGATTGTAGTCTTAGATATTTGAAAAGCAGAGGCAGAAGGATCATAAGTTCAAGGCCAGCCTGGGCAGCACAATAAGACTCAATTTTAAAAAATAAATTTTTTGAGCGGTTGTTGCGTTAGGGCGTATGCGCTCGCCAGAAAGACAGAGAGAGACAGAGAGACAGAAAGTGAGAAATCACCCCCCAGGGTGGATGGCCATGTCGCAACCCCTTCTCCTCCATTCTCCTCTCAGGATCTTGGGCACACAAGCACATGCACTGGCATGAGTTTAAGGCACTGGGTCCGGGATTTGAACAGTGGTCGACTACATGAGAGTCCAGCGACATAGCCATTACACCAACTGCTGGCCCCTTAAAACATAATTTTTTTAAAAATCCTAGAGAGTAGACATTCTTAGGACACTGTTGGCGAGACACTACTTTCGTAAATTAGGACAAGTCTAAGATTGACTCACTCGGTTTTATTTTAAGAAGCTTTTAAAACAGTTCATTCTTATTCCAAAGATATTTGTGGTAAACTTCAAAGTAGTGTTGATATTAAAAGTAATATTTCAACATCTTTTTTAAAGGTTTTTGCCATAAGGCAAATGCATTCACCAGAGAGAGAGACAAAGTGAGAAATCACCCCCCACCCCCCATCCCAGCAGGGAGGGTCACACAGCAATCCCTTCTCCATTCTCCTCCTGGGACTTTGGGTACCTACAAACATGCACCAGGGTGAACTTCAAACCACCAGGTCTGGGCTGCCAACCACGGTCAGCCATGTGGGAGTCCAGCACGTTAACCACCAGATGGTCTGCTGGCCCCAATATTTCAACATTTTTTAATTGGGCAGGCCCTGATGTCAGGCAGTGTTGAAACCACATGGTCTTCAGTGTACTGTAAGCTCACACGGTGATCTTCCTGAGTTCAGCAGCGCATTTTCCACACGCAGTGGAAGCCTCTGACAACATGGGTCTTGGGAAACACATGAAAGTGGGCCACATCGTCTGTCCTCACAGTCTGATTGAGAGTGTAGGGGTTTATCTGTTTGTTTTCAATAAACTCACTGTACAATACCTTGTATCATACAGCTTGTGGAAGTGCCTAGACATCAGTAAATCAACATTTTCTCAGGGAAATACACTTTATAAACATCCATTGCAGCAGGAGAAACACCTACAGGAAAAAATCATGAAGCTATCTGAATGTGGCCAAAGGGAAAAATAGTCTAAGATAATTCCAGATTTTTTGGTTGTGGTTTTCCCCTCCACTTCTCCCTCACCCCCAGAGAAAACAATGAGGCAAAATTTCCTTGTTTTTTAGAGAGAGGTTTTTTTTTTTTGGTTTCCTTTGTGTGTGTGTGTGTGTGTGTGTGTGTGTGTGTGTGTGTGTGTTTTCTATAAAGAGAGACAGAGAGATGGAAAGCAAGAAATCAGTCCCCAGAGGGGTTGGCCACACCGCAATATCCCTTTTCCATTCTCCTAACAGAATTTTGGGCACACATGCACCCATGTGCAGTATGAGTTTGAAGCCACCAGGTCTGGGACTCAAACCATCAAACCATGGTTGACTCTGTGGGAATCCAACGACAAACAATGTAACCATTATGCCATCTGCTGGTCCCAAGGCAAAATTTCCTATAGCAAGGCAAAGGTGGTCGCACAAAGGAAACTAATGAATTAACACGTGGCTGGGATAGTAATTTGCTGATGCTTCCTTGGTCATACAGCTACTGGAGCTAATGGGTGGAATCTACCCTATTAACAGAGGCCACTGTCTGCTGCCACCACCTCTGGTATTTGGAGCACCATCAGAGCTCCACAGTCCTTTTCTCTCCAGGTGATCCGTGTGGTTTTCATCACTAGCAGCTCATCCACCATTTGCACCATTTGACCACCTATGAGTCAGACGAAAGTGCACGCAGGTTGTGTCCTTGATGGTGCAAGACTATGAGGCATAACTCTCATGGTGCCTGGCAGGGTGTATCACAGAGAAAGGAAAGGAAAGGGTGTAATTTCAATGATGAATTTTCACCAGCAACCCACAACCCACTTTGCATCCTTTCAATGAACTCTTGGAAACATCGTTAAATACGCATCTAATGAAACATCGCCATCTTGCTTCTATCATACACAGAGTGTGCTCTTTCTGTAACCCTCATGCCTCTCCATTTGGGTGGAACAGGTGGCACTTAAATTATAAGCAAATACAGGCTCCACTTAGGGTTGTTTCTAAGAGAAAACTGATTTTATGTGGATGACCTTGCTTCAGTTTCTTCTTTCAAGGGAAAAAAAAAAAATTGAAGCCAGCAAGAGGTGTAGTGGTTAAAGCGTTGGACTCCCACATGGCTGACCAGGGTTAGAGTCCCAGACCTGGCGGCTTGAAACTCACACCATGTGCGTATTTTGTGCCCAAATCCCAGAGGAGAATAGAGAAGGGATTGTGGTATGGACATCCTCCCAGGGGATAACTTCTGCTTTCCCTCTCACTGTGTCTCTATGTCTCTCTTCTCTCTGGTGAATGCACATGCCTAGTCCCCAGAGGGGTTGGCCACACCGCAATATCCCTTTTCCATTCTCCTAACAGAATTTTGGGCACACATGCACCCATGTGCAGTATGAGTTTGAAGCCACCAGGTCTGGGACTCAAACCATCAAACCATGGTTGACTCTGTGGGAATCCAACGACAAACAATGTAACCATTATGCCATCTGCTGGTCCCAAGGCAAAATTTCCTATAGCAAGGCAAAGGTGGTCGCACAAAGGAAACTAATGAATTAACACGTGGCTGGGATAGTAATTTGCTGATGCTTCCTTGGTCATACAGCTACTGGAGCTAATGGGTGGAATCTACCCTATTAACAGAGGCCACTGTCTGCTGCCACCACCTCTGGTATTTGGAGCACCATCAGAGCTCCACAGTCCTTTTCTCTCCAGGTGATCCGTGTGGTTTTCATCACTAGCAGCTCATCCACCATTTGCACCATTTGACCACCTATGAGTCAGACGAAAGTGCACGCAGGTTGTGTCCTTGATGGTGCAAGACTATGAGGCATAACTCTCATGGTGCCTGGCAGGGTGTATCACAGAGAAAGGAAAGGAAAGGGTGTAATTTCAATGATGAATTTTCACCAGCAACCCACAACCCACTTTGCATCCTTTCAATGAACTCTTGGAAACATCGTTAAATACGCATCTAATGAAACATCGCCATCTTGCTTCTATCATACACAGAGTGTGCTCTTTCTGTAACCCTCATGCCTCTCCATTTGGGTGGAACAGGTGGCACTTAAATTATAAGCAAATACAGGCTCCACTTAGGGTTGTTTCTAAGAGAAAACTGATTTTATGTGGATGACCTTGCTTCAGTTTCTTCTTTCAAGGGAAAAAAAAAAAATTGAAGCCAGCAAGAGGTGTAGTGGTTAAAGCGTTGGACTCCCACATGGCTGACCAGGGTTAGAGTCCCAGACCTGGCGGCTTGAAACTCACACCATGTGCGTATTTTGTGCCCAAATCCCAGAGGAGAATAGAGAAGGGATTGTGGTATGGACATCCTCCCAGGGGATAACTTCTGCTTTCCCTCTCACTGTGTCTCTATGTCTCTCTTCTCTCTGGTGAATGCACATGCCTTACAGTCAAAACCTTTTTTAAAAATGATTTCATATTGCCTGACCATTGTCACATTTGCATATGCTGTACTTACTTACCTTCGTGATGTTTGGAAGTTAAGACAATGTATTTGGCACCAGAGGCCTGAAAAATATCCGCCCATTGGTTGGCATTAAAAAATTTTGCTGTAAATAGAGGACCAAAATCTTCATATTTGAAACCAGGAGGGTAATTATCTTTCATAAAGTTCACATATTCTGGTAACTTTTCCTTTTGCCAGTACCACCTAATGTGACAAAAGGAAACAGCACATGCATAAGTGTTTGAAATAGCTGCTCCACCTCCCTTTACTGTTTCCCCCTTACCCAGATTCTTCCTCAATTGTCCATTGACTTGACTTGGCTTTAACAAACATGTAAAAACTAAAGCTCCCATGTTGTTTTCTTCTTTTTTTAAATTGGTCTATCACAATACCTTCTCCTCCAGTTTTTTACCTGTCAAGGTTTTTGGTACATGCGTACATACACCCAGCATGCCTTTCAAGCTAATGGGGTTGGGACTCAAACCAGGTCTGGTCATGTGGGATCCAGCTGCCTTACGCATTAGGTTAAGAAACTAGCCCACCTCTTGTTTTCCATCTGTCCCCATGTGATATCCTCTCAGCTAATAAATTAGAACATTCTAGGCAATCCAGTCCCTATTCTGTCTTAATTCTTCACTTCTAAATAATAACAGATAGTATGTTTCCTTCCTTTTTTTTTTTTTTTTTTTTTAGGTTTTCGCTATAGGACGCGTGCGCTCGCCAGACAGACAGAGAGAGACAGGGAGACAGAAAGCGAGAAATCACCCCCCAGGGGGGATGGCCACGCCGCAATCCCTTCTCCTCCGTTCTCCTCTTGGGATCTTGGGCATGCATGCACACACACCCGGTGTGAGTTTAAGCCACCGGGTCCGGGACTTATGCGGTCGACTATGTGGGAATCCAGTGACATAGCCATTCCGCTAACTGCTGGTCCCATGTTTCCTTCTTTTAATTATTTATTTAATTTTGTGTATTCATTCATTTATTTTAATTTGACCAGAGAGAGACAGAGAGAGAGAAAGAGGAAGAAAGGGAAAGTGAGAAAGCAAGCTACCAGGTCCAGGACTTGAACAGTGGTTAGCCATGTGGGAGTATCCAGCACCTTAACCACCACACCACCCGCCATCCCCACAAGCGGTAGTATGTTTCTTTACATAGTAAATCCTTTGTACATAAGTGACTAAGGCTACAAGGAAGACGACCAGCCTTAACTATAGCATCATCTATTATATTCATTAGCACAGGCCATGTTTGGGACAGGGTATAGAAGAGAAGGCAACAATAAATTAAGAAGATGCTGTTATTTTGATAAACTGATGGGATCTTCAAGGATTACTTGTCATATACATTAACTCTCAGCAAAGGCATATTGAGGCTGGGGACCGGACAGTGGCACAGTAGTAAGACATGACACTCTGAAGCTGATTCACACGAGAGGGTTCCAGGTTCCCATCGGAGAGCTCCCCACACTGACCAGGCATATGCGTGCCCAGAATCCAGGGTTGGCTAAAGCTGGGGGTGGATCACAGCATTGGCCCCTGTGGGGTGCTATCTCTCTGTGTCTTGCTCATGAAAAAAATAAATGAATAAACTTAAAAAAAAAAAACTACCTTTTTAAAAAAAAGTATTTGGAGCCTAAATTGTGTAAGGTTTCATACAGAAAAGTACACATACTAATAAAATATTGTAGATAAATACAGCATAAACTATCCTGATGAAATAGAGGTCAACCCCATTTCGGGCTCATCTTCTACTTCTCTATCTCCGCACCTTTCGTAATCATATTTCTGCAGGATGAGCAAGTTCATAACCAGCACTACATCTCCAAAGATGACCAGGAGGCCCTTTTGACTGAGAAGGTATCCCCACAAGCGGTAGTATGTTTCTTTACACAGTAAATCCTTTGTACATCAGTGACTAAGGCTTCAAGGAAGACGACCCTTAACTATAGCATGCATCTATACTCATGATACTGCCCCAAAGTCACATGCACACTTTCGCAGCTTCCATCCCAGCGAACGCATGCCGGCCCATGGAACTTGAGGGGAAGGAGACCTGGGCATTCTGGGGATGGTTTTCCCCCAATGGAAAGAGCACCCGGGGCCACTCCATGGCTTAGTGGTTAAGGGAGCTGGATCCAACATGGTGAGAAGTGTGGTTCAAGCCTCAGCCATGGTGGCTTGAAAAACATGCCAGGTATGGGGACCAGCAGCTAGCGTAATATTATGTCTCTGGACTCCCACGTAGTCGACTGCAGTTCACATCCCGGACCCGGTGGCTTAAACTCATGCCAGGCGTGTGTGCATACGTGCCCAAGATCCTGAGAGGAGAATGGAGGAGAAGAGATTGTGGCGTGGCCATCCCCCCTGGGGGGTGATTTTTCATTTTCTGTTTCTCTGTCTCTGTCTTCAAAAAAAGAAAGAAAATGCGAGGTATGTGTGTGCGTGTACGAAATCTTGACAGGAGAGAGGGATGAAAGAGAAGGGACAGGGCATGACCATGTTCCTCTGGGGGCTGTTTTCTCCCTCTTCTCTCTATCTCTCTGTTTCTTTCTGGCAAGTACATGTACCCTCTAAAAAGAGAGACAAGGAGAGAGAGAAATACTGGTCTTCCTACCTTTGGATAAGGTCATGTGAAGTCGTGATGCCTGGCCACCATCATGTGACCGCGAAGGGCCAAACCCACTGGCTGAGGATGACAGAGAGCCTGTCCAGGGCTTTGATATCATCAGTCAGCCAACTGCCTCTGAATTTCTTGTCACGTGGGATAACAAGATGCTAATCTTATGCCTTTTATTTGGGCTTTTGATACCTTAAAGTAAGAGTATCCTAACTGATTCATGATCATGTTTACCTTTTAAGTTGAACTATGGAAGAGAAACTGGGGCAGTCAGAAAGCTGTACAAAGATAAGGAATTTCCCCTTTTGCTCCTGGCATCATGGAATCTGAACCTGCATTCTCTGCTGGAGTCTCAGATTTCGTAATAAGAGAAATGGAAAGAGTCAGGTAAAGAGTAAAACCTAAAGCACAACTCTTTTTCTAGTACTTTCCGTGTGGCGGTCTGAGGGTCTGTTTTTAGGGTGCAAGTATAGTCCATTCTCTGTTCCTCAGTAACAGAATACTTGAAAGTGGATGCTTTATACAAATAAAGTGTTTCAGCTCCCAGGTTTGGAAGTCCGAGACCCAGGGTCCACAGGTGGTGAGGGTCTTCTTGCTGCTGGGGACTCTGCAGAGACCGGAGGAGACACTGGGCATCCCATGACCGCACTCAGCAATGGGAGGGCTGTGTCTGCCTCCCTGTCTCCACCTCTGTCTCCTTTACTGCTTTTACAGACCCATCAGGATTATATCAGAGAGGTCCCACCCTGATGGCATTAATTGATTCCCAAAAGCCTCAGATAAAGTTTTTACTATGTTAATCCCATCACAGCCAGATTTTACATGAGACTCCTTGGGGTAGGCACCCAACCACAGCAGGTAGCATTCAGAGCACCTTCCTGGAAGTTCCCAGAGACACGCATGGTAACATTTAAACACTAAACAGCCAGAGTGCACCCAAGCCTTTCACGTAGCTGTGAATTGATGTTTTGGGGTGGTTTTTGTTTGTTTGTTTTTGTTTTTGTTTGTTTTTCTGGGAGAGGTTTTTGCCATAGGGGCGTAACCAAATTTCCCTACCGAAGACTGAAAATCAGCGGTGGTAGAACAGCGATGGGACGGACTCTGAGCCACAGGCGCGAGGTATGTCTCTCTGCCACCGGATTAATGCCTCTCGTCGCTCCGTGTGACACTGTCACAGCTGTAACTTGAGAGGCGCCACTCTCAAGAGGGCCTGAAGCCAGATCTGCATTCGACGAGTCTGAAAGTCTTGCGGTCACACGGATGAAAAGTTCACAGTTCAACCAGCACGACGCACATAGACGAGGAACTGATACAACCAACACCCGGAAATGCGAATCGCGGTTAACAGGGCGCCGGGCGAAGCCGGAGGGTGCGCTGCCGAACCGTGGGCCCGGTGGTGGCCGCACGCCGAGAACTGGGGGGCAAAGCAGGGTCGGGGGGACGGCGGGAGCACACTCACCAGAACCATTCGCTCCCGAAGCTGGGCACGGAAAACACGCCCCAGTGAATAAAGATGCCGAACTTGGCCTGGTCGAACCAGGCCGGCAGCGGGCGGGCGTCCAGGGACTCCCAGGTGGGGTCGAAGCGCGCGGCGCGGCGGGCCAGGCC